TACTTTCAAGGGAGCAGATCGAGAGTTAAGATCATATTTAACTCAGTTACAATCTGACCCTGAACTCCATAATAGTTTTGCTCAAGATCGAATAACTTGGCACTTTCTGCCTCCTTCTGCTCCTCACTTCGGAGGTTTATGGGAAGCTGGAGTAAAAAGTGTAAAAAAATATCTTAAACCTCAACTTGCAAATGTTACACCTAGTGCAGATGAGTTTCGGACTTTATTAAGTGAAATTCAAGGTCTTTTAAATTCTCGGCCTATAGCTCCGTTATATGATGACAAAGAAAGTTATGATGCTCTTACACCAGGACACTTTTTGGTAGGATGTGCTCTTAAGTCGATTCCCACTCCTTCTGTATTAGATTTAACAGATAACAGACTTACTCGCTGGCAATTTTATCATAAGGTTGTGGAAAACTTTTGGCGTAAATGGCAAAGAGAATATCTTTTCGAATTGCAAACGCGTTCAAAGTGGTTTAGTACTAAACCTAATTTAATGAAAGGCGATCTTGTTTTAGTAAGAAATGAACATCTGCCTCCAAATAAGTGGGAATTGGGTCGTATTATCAGTACTCATCCTGGTGCTGATGGGTTGGTTCGCGCTGTTACTATTAAAACTGCAAATTCAGAGTTTCAGCGTCCAATTGTTAAATTGGTTAAGTTACCTATTAATAATTTTAAATAAAATTTTACTGTACTGATTAATCTTATAAATTCTAAATACTAGCCCTGTTATTGCTGAGCGTTCTTGTTTATCTTTTGTATTAATTGACTTCGCAATTGCGGGGGAGTATGTTCGAGATTGAGTTACTGAAGTAGTATATATGCTTATTGAATAAATATATGTAATCTCTATGGAACCCTGTTCCTAGGGAACCATTTATTATGATTTATTAATATACATATAAAAAATATACACGATTTTGGTTTATGTAACTTACGAGAAATAAAACTGTTATAAAAAGAACATAATACTATTTCCTAAAACTCCAAGACATTCATTTTGCTGCTCTAAAACACCTTAAATAATAAATGTTTTTTTATGAAAACCATGATTTTGCTTAATAAAATAACCGGCTGTAAATAATACAGCTCACCTGCCATCGTTTCAATGTTGCCGACCTAACGATTCCGTTTTTGTATAATAACTCCACCAATATTGCAAAATAATTTTGTTGATATTTTTCTTGGACTCCCATAGGTGTCCCCTAAAACGTATTGTGGAGATTTTTCGCTAGTTTAAATATACATATGTAGCAATCATTTTACTACAATAATGTTTAAAAATATTAAAAAATGTATTCAACTAGAAATCTGATATAGCCTCGGCTATAGCAAATTTTATTTAATATACTGGTGAAAATGTTTGTCATTTATTTAAATCTTTTATTTTTTGATTTAAAAAAAACTTCAAAGTTAATAATAAACAGGAATTAAAACCTTTATCCACAGTTTAGAATTGAAGGGACAAGTGGATGAAGGGGTTTAGTAATCTTTTTACTTCATTTCATAACTGCTGTCATTATCCATATTTTTTGATTTATACATTAAAAAATGTATAAGGACTAAACTTTTGTAGGTAATTTTAGTTTGAATTAAACCTTAATTTAAAATTTTTAGGTTTAATTGTTTTTATTGTCCAAATTAGACTTGGTAATATCCCTCTGACATTTTATAAACTTTGACATTGTGGAAATTGTTCTTAAGAATATATATTTTTGTTATATTATTGCAGTTATCCGAGAAACAGCGTTTTCAACACGCTGAAAAGTATTATCGGTACTCGAATATTGCACTTGATTACGCCTTGTGCACAAACTATCCTCCCTCTAACTTAAACACTTTAACATGTCAAATGACAAATCCTTAACAGTATTTTCATTGGCCATTTAATTATCCAGTTTTTAAATAATTTTTGTAAATTTATTAAAAATTGTATTTACCTAGTAGATATATTTATATTTACAAATAAAAATGCGAAAATAATTATAGATATACAAGTAATTTTTTTTATTTGTTTCAAAACAGGGAACTGACAAAAATGTGTGCGTAACTTAAACCTATTCAGTTTAACCCTCCAATACTTAAGGTTAACCTTTCGATCTGTAATAACGCCGCGGCGCGCCGCGGCGGTATACCGGTAGGGACCTTTTAGAACTTTGTGAGTAAATTAATTTCTGTTATCATGCGCTAAAAATATGTTCTTTAATTATATACTATATACTTATATTATATTCTATAAAAATGACATGTTAAATTGATTTAGACAAGTTTAAGACCTATTAGAGAACTTGTTTGCAATATTTTCTACGTAAACACTGCTATAAGGTACCTAATAAACTTAAAATTTGAGGAAGAAAAAAAACCTTGAAACCTTAAATGTGTATTTAAGTCAGGTTTATGCTGAACGTTCCCATCAAGTGGCTGGGCTACCTGCACTTAAAGACATAAGTGGATACAGGTGTTATGTCACATTTTAAATAATAATAATAGACAGAACATTGAAATTAAAATTTAAATAAAAAAAAGTAAACTATAATATCATATCATTTAAGGGTTTACCATAAATAATTAATTCAATTTTAAATTATTTTTTATTGTTAAAAATGTGACATTATACCTTTATTCACTTATGTCTTCAACATATAAAACCTATACCTACATTAGATAATATGGTAAAACAAATCAGAAAATGTCTTTTTCGTCTGTCACCTGTCATCTGTCACATTTCATCTGTCATCTGTCAATTGTCATCTGTCACATTTCGTCTGTCACCTGTCATCTGTCATTTGTCATCAGCTATTTGTCATCTGTCACCTGTCATCTGGCACCTCAGCCGGAAATATTATAAGCTCTAAACGGAACTGCTTACTTCCCGAAAATGCAAATTTATTAATTTTCATTTACCAAAATAGAGATATAACTGAAAAAAAATTGAACAATTAATTTAATTATATATAATATAAATAAAATGTAAAATATTATTTAACTTAATAAATTACTCTATTATTGTTTGTCATAAAAGCAACATCAATATTATTATTTTTTTAACCTGTCCGTAAATAAGAAATCATAAAAAAATAGCTGTTTAGCCGGTTAGCCGTTAGCTAATTAGCTAAGCTAATTTAGTTAACCGGTTAAATTAGCTAAGCTGATCAGTTAGCTAGCTAATTAACTTAGCTAACTTTTTTGGCCGACTTAACCGGCTAAATTGTACAGCGCTAATATATACAAATTATCCCACTGTGGGTAAACCCCAGTTTAGTAAAGATCTTCGTATTGATATGTTGGCGTGTTTATTTTTCTTAGAGGACTGAACTTATTGTTTATGTTATCTATTGCGTTTTCGGCAACTCATTGTTTGTTTAGTTTGGGGCTAGATTAGTTTGTATCAATTAAGTCATGCGGATTAAAGCTATTTAACGCTATTTATAAGTACTTAACTTATCTTTAAGGCCCGGATTTTAGGTAAAACACCTTTTGTTGGTTTTTAAGGTTTTAAAGATATTTTTTTGTATTTGCCCGTTTTATAAAAAATGGAGTCATGTGACTAAGTTTTATTTGGTCTAAAATACATTTTTTATATTCTTTTCACCTATTTTCCTTTTTTGCACCTAAATTGTATTTTTAATACCTAAAATGAACTTTTTTTACCCGTCCTGTGACGTTGAACGATCATTCTCTTGGTTTAAAAATGTTTTGACTGATAAACGCACTAGCTTTACTTCTGAAAACTTGGAGAAATATTTTGTCTGTCATGCATATAATCGTTAAATAAATTAATAAATTTTTTTTTTTTATTTTAGAGTTCCTATTTTGTTTTTTTTTGTAATTTTAGAGTTCCTATTATGTTTTTTTGCTATTTTACATTATTTGTGATATGATATATTTACTTTTATTTTATTTGTTATTTTTCCAACCAAACATTTTTGTTCAGTTAATGTTAATAATAAATATTATTTTAATAACTATTTTATTTTATCTAAATCCCTTATTGCCGGACATTAACAGAGCAATTATAATGTAACTAAAACTACATAAGACCTATGTATGGTTTTACAACGATTAAAGCTATTTAACGCTATTTATAAGTACTATTATAAGTACTTAACTTATCTTTAAGGCCCGGATTTTAGGTAAAACACCTTTTGTTGGTTTTTAAGGTTTTAAAGATATTTTTTTGTATTTGCCCGTTTTATAAAAAATGGAGTCATGTGACTAAGTTTTATTTGGTCTAAAATACATTTTTTATATTCTTTTCACCTATTTTCCTTTTTTGCACCTAAATTGTATTTTTAATACCTAAAATGAACTTTTTTTACCCGTCCTGTGACGTTGAACGATCATTCTCTTGGTTTAAAAATGTTTTGACTGATAAACGCACTAGCTTTACTTCTGAAAACTTGGAGAAATATTTTGTCTGTCATGCATATAATCGTTAAATAAATTAATAAAATTTTTTTTTTTATTTTAGAGTTCCTATTTTGTTTTTTTTTGTAATTTTAGAGTTCCTATTATGTTTTTTTGCTATTTTACATTATTTGTGATATGATATATTTACTTTTATTTTATTTGTTATTTTTCCAACCAAACATTTTTGTTCAGTTAATGTTAATAATAAATATTATTTTAATAACTATTTTATTTTATCTAAATCCCTTATTGCCGGACATTAACAGAGCAATTATAATGTAACTAAAACTACATAAGACCTATGTATGGTTTTACAACGATATCGACATTATAATGAAAACATTTTATTTCAATAAATCAGATAATTTTTTTTTATTAGGTACCTAAAATGTAGGCACCTAAAATAATAACCTAATTTTATAACTATGTGACCTATTTTTTGAATTTTTTTTACTTTTTTATAACCTAAAAAAACGGGCCAACCAATATTAACTTTTTAATTAAGTACCTAAAATATAGATACCTAAAATAATAACCTATTTTATTAAAAATATCACCTAATTTAGGAACCTTTTATCACTTTTTTATGACCTAAAAATCCGGACCTTACTTATCTTTTGTTCCTGCAAAACACTTCCTTCCCTTTGGTTTCTTCGTACATTGAATTCACCTAGGTAGTATTCTGGATTCGTCTTCTTGTGTTCAGGAGATTGTGTTGCATTGCGCTACTGTATTAGCGCTTTGCTGATTATGACTTCGCGAGTCCGGTACCGTGACTTACCTGCACAGGTAGTGGCCCTAGGCTCTGATTTCGCACTTAAATTGCCAAATTAACTTAAATACGCTGTGTGCGCTTTACTCTTGAGAAGCGATCGCGTGCGCGTCATCACTCTACAATGCGACAAGTGGTACTGGTCAGTTATTTAATAAAATTTTAAATCATAAAAATCCAGTTCAAGAAAATGTTATAAAATAATAAATTAAATAATTTTACCACCTAACATTTGTTTCCGGTAACTATTTTCGTAAAGAACGTACCTAATTTAATAATTTTCCCACCTAAAACAAGGAAAAAGTAGGTACCTATTAGGTACCTATTTTTATAAATTTTGCGACCTTAAATCTCATTTCTAGTTATCACCGATCGAGGGGTTATTGATTGGTACCACTTGATAACTGATAACAAGTAATTACTTGGTAAACTTAAGTTTAATTTTTTCCCAACCTTGTTAGACTCTTTTTAAGTTTTTAAGAACTAAAATTAAATATTTTTAAAATGATAAGACACCTTAGTAAAAAAACAAAAGTCGTTACTAGTAGATACAAAAATTAATTAATATCAAACGAAAAAAACTACTTAAAAAATTCTTTGTAGGTTTGTACTTACAAATAGCCTTCATAATTATCCCAACTAGCAAAATAAATCCCTTAAAGAACTGAATTGTTTTATAACTATCGTCTAGAGCTGCAAAAAGAACATTTTTATTGTTTAATGCGTTTTAATACAATAATTTTATCGTAAAAACGACGAAATTCTAATACATTATTGTATATATATTCTTACAACTCGTGTTATAGAACCAAACTCATACACATTTTTTAACCATTGTATAACGTTTTATACAATCCCTTATAAAATTATTTTAAAAGAGTTGTATAAAAGTTATAATAGAGTTGTATACCTATTCTTATACTTGTAGTTTCAACGTTTTATGATAGTTGTAATAGAATTTGTATAAAAGTTGTATTGAAGCTCTATAAGATACATTAAAAAATTGTTTTTTTAAGCAGAAGTAAACACACTACACAATAAGTATAAAGTTATTTTATAATTATCCTATAACTACACCGATTAACTTCTTTATAGAAAGTTTATAAAATAAAATTATCGCAAGGTCTTCTGCGTTATAATTTTATTACTTAAGTCTGTTTATACATTTAGTGTCTTATTACGCCAAAATAAGTTAAGTATTTTTTTAAAATGGAGTCGCAATGGAAAAAAATTAAGAAAAGTGGGCATTTTAATTTTAAAACTCAACGTAGAAATATCTGTGATAAATATTTGCCGGTATTTATCACAGATTATAAACAAAAAAATAGGTTAGGTCACATGTAGATAAAGAAGGTACCGCTAAAAAGTGGATAAAACAGAACACAATTGTATAGTGCGGTACAATGCATACCTTAAGCGATATTATTGTTCTATTGCGCAGTAGGCAAAGGCGTTATAGCCAATACGAAAAATGAACTTACAGGGTTGTTATTTTAGGCAGCAGTGTTACCTACAAATCCTTATTTGCATAAAAAATGAAGGTAACGTCGTGCAGGATAAATAAAATTTTACTTGATGTAGGGTCATTCCACGTTACTCGGGGATTTTTGTCCCACCCGTCACAATTAAAAATTGTGAGTAAAAACTACAAGTTATAAAATTTATTTAAAAATATTGTTTTATTATGCTTTTAATAAGTTATAAGCACAATAAAAATAATATTATAAAATATTAATTTTATAACTTGTGGTTTTTACTCACAATTTTTAATTGTGACGGGCGCGCCCGCCCGGGCGGGACAAAAATTACCGAGTAACGTGGAATGCCCCTGTACCTAACTGCACCAAAAATGAGTATTTTATTCTAAAAAAAAACAAATAATTTGAAAAATACAGATAAAATCTGGCAACATCTCAAATGTCAGTTTCTTGCTTTACTTTTATAGCGCCTGTATTAAACAACTTTACAGAACCTAAATATCGTATAACGCACGCGACAGAGCAGATAAATTGTATAACGTTTTTATAAAGACAAAACCATTTTATAACAAAAACGCCATATTTATTGACCGATCAATTGTTTATAAATCGCCGCCATTGTGTGAATTTTACCAACAAACGTTAAAACTGTCAATTAAAAATGAATTTTCTTGAAAAAAATTAATGAAATCTTAAGACTAGTCAATTATAAACTGAACAAATAAAACAATAATATTCTTAAAAAACATGAAACTTTGTCAAATAAAAAATTAATTTTTTTTTTTTAAATAATTTTTAGTAGGTATGTTTGTTAACTGGCGCTTTAATTTTTCGTTAAAAATATATACATATATTGTCAGAAAAGATTGCTCCGCAGGAAGATGTTGTCCTCGATAGCGTAAATCTCAAAGGTTTAATAATTATATTTACATAATAAACAACAAGCACCATTTTGGATCTTAGCCGTTTGACATCCAACATAATTCGCATTATAAAATAGTCTTAGGATAAAAATTTCCCACTCCATTCCTAATTTCTAGAGAAGGAAACAAATTGATGTTCTTATAACGATTCTGTCGCATTATAACATACTTATAAAATGCTTGTTTTAATATTCTATAAATATTCGTAAAGTGCAATTAAGCTGCAGAGTAAAACCGCTATAGTATAATCGTATAGCAGTTCCCCAGTATACTGATACTGAGTTTTATAAGGGTTGTGTAGTGTATTTATATAACTGCTAACGAAGTAAACTGTTTTATAAAACGGGGCCCTTTTTGGTTGAGTAAGTGTTGTATAGTAGTTTTTAAACGCATTATACAATTTTAGCGTTTCTATAATATGTGTTGTATAGCAGTTCTAACAACACTTACATAATCAATTTTGTTAGCTGGGATATTACACGGAAGATTTGCTGTTCGAAATATGTAAGAGGCAACTTACTTCAAAGCCTTGTGATAATGAGACTTTGCCAACTCCGGCATCGCAGAGTCGCGCAGAAAATTTGCATAGTTGTAGTGCATCTTGGCATTGTGGGGCAACGCTGCTAAACCAGCCCTAAAAATAAAATTAATTTTTTGTAAAGGTGTAAAGACAAAAAAAAATATTATTATTATCTATCCATTATCTCAAATTCTAGCTTTTACTTTGTGTAGCTTTATTAGATTGTGTTCGATAAAATTGTGCGTGTTGGCTCTTAAAAAAAGCATTTAAGAAATAAAAACGTAGCGCGTTGCTAACTTTGTTGTTTTGTTCACTGACATAAAGTGGCAAGGGTGAAATGTTTTTTTCATGAAGTGTAACAAAACCGTTAACCCCCGGTCGGGTAATCAGCGAACTTTATTAATTTGATAAAATGCCAAAAGTTGTATTAAAGAAAAACGAGTAATGTTTGTTCTATTTCGTCCTCGTTCGGAAATCATAAGTGCACTCGGGCAACTTTTCCCATAACCGCTGAAACACCGCAGAAATTCCTAACGAGTGTAAAAATTAAGGATGCGACGAACTTTTGAACAAGAAGAAAAAATGTCACTTGAAAAATTGCCAACTAATTTTTGCAGTGCAAAAGTCCTATTAAATTTTGCAGCAATAGAATTTCCAACACTCTCTATTCATAAAAATAGCAGATGGTTTTGACATTTTTCTACTGTTATTTTACGTGGGCCGCCTACGCAACAAAATAATTTAAAAAGATAAAAAAATCTTTAAATGAAACCTTAATTAATTACTCAGTTTTGTTTCTGTCACTTGAATGGCTCTAATAACGGTGAAGTATGCAAAGCTTTATAAGAATGGCGTATTTTTTTTAAGTATGTACATTGTACAGAATAAAGGCTTTATTTTATTAAACGGAAATAATAATTTTTTGTACTTTATGGGCACACCGTTTTATATTATTTGATTAATTTACTTTTAATACTTTGCAATACTTTACAATTCAATGGAACGGAACACAAAAGAAATATTCTTTATCAAAAAGCCAAAACACAATATGCATAAAAATAAAAAAACTTAGTAAATTTTTTGATACAATTAAAATAATTATTTATATTCAAGTTTCGAAAATTGCTTATTTGAAAAAGGAACTGCGAAAAATTCGAATTTGGATTAGTAGGCATGAAAGCTAATCTAAATAAAAAGTAGTTTCGTGAAAATCCAGTTTTTATTTTAAGAAACAATTACGAACGCGTGTGGCATAAGAAATAAGGAATAAAGGGGGGAAAACGTTTAATGATTTGACGATCTTTGTGCCCTTTAAGTACACGTAAACGCAAGGGTAATGCATAATAATAACCTGTTTATACAAATTAGAAATCTATATTACCTTAGCAGGGATTCCCTGGATCTCCAGTCTCTGTTTCTAATTATAGTCCTTAAACAATTGGTTGTTAACATTAATACTATGAAAAATATAATGGTTTGTCTATGCTTGGAGTATGATGTCCAAAGTGTTTGTATTCCATACACCACCAACAAAATGCTTCCCAAGCTAAAAAACAAAATACACTTAAGTTCTTAATTTCTGTAAAAACCATAAATGAAGCAATAATGCTATTTTAATTTCCCCTTTTAGTCCAGCTCTGTCTGTCGCATCAAAGAGCCTTCATTTGACGTGTATGCTGGTTTGCAACGCCATCTTTTGTAAAATCTTGTTTTATACAGGGTGAGTTTTAAGTTGACGCGTTCCTTTTAACAGTGTGTAGAAATCAGCTAGACAAATTTTAAGAAACTTTTTTATCAAAACTCAAAAATAAAAAAGTTATAGCCCATTAAAGTTTGATTAAATTTTAAGCCTGGCTATTGTTAACGAAAAACATAACCATTTAAATCAAATTGACATTTTGCAATAAAAAATGTCATTATTTACTAAGTTGCAGCATTTGCATTTTGACGCCACTCTAAATAAATTAGTAACATTTCCACTAATTCATTATTGCTATAATTATGAACCATTTTAACAATAATTGAGGCACAATAAAACTGACATTTTTCATTGCTAAATGTCATTTTGATTTAAATGGTTATGTTTGTTGTCATAGATGACATTTTGCATTGTTTATTTTGTTATTTTTATTTTTATGGTTATGTTTTTTTAACAAAATTTAATTAAACTTGGAAGGCCTATAACTCTCTTATTTTTGAGTTTTGATAAAAAAGTTACTTAAAATATTTATTTGTTTATCTGATTTCTACACGCTGTTAAAAGGAACGCGTCAACTTAAAACTCACCCTGTATATATTAGGGTTTCAAAAAAATTAACAATTTTTTTTCCAATGGTGTTGAAAAATTAATAGTACATTAAAAAACAAAAATGTTGTCGCCTATTTGAGCTCTTAATATTAATATTAAGGTTTGTCTCAATTAATTTTTTTTCCATTTCAATAACACGGGAATTTTTATTTTTTTAATTTTGAATTTGTATAACTTTGGAATGGTTTGTTTTCGCAACACCCAAGCGAGAGGAGTTAAATTGTCTATAAAACCTCTCGCTTGGGTGTTGCGAAAACAAACCATTCCAAAGTTATAATAATTCAAAATTTAAAAAATAAAAATACAGGGTGTTATTTAAGTACGTGGCAAACTTTAGGGGATGATTCTTTGAATTATTCTAAGACGAAAAGTTCATTTAAACATAGGTCCGGAAATGCTCCGTTTTCAACTTACAGGGTGTCAAAACTTAAAATTAAAATTACCAAAAAATAACCAAAACTTTTAAGTAAATTTTTGTCAAAACTAAATCTCCGATTTAACCGTTTTTTTAATAATAGGTTGTCCCTTTTAAAAAATTTACAATGTTGGTATACGAACTATATTCCGATAGAAACCTCTTTTTTACAAATACCGGGTGTAGCAATTATAGCGTGTTTTTTATATAAATTTTGTAACACCCTGTAGAGTTAAACAGCTACAATATCAAGTTAGAATTGAAATTAAACTTTAACATTATCTTTTTTTTTTTAATTTTGTTTTTCTATTTACTCCAGGGGCATTCCACGTAATTTTTGTCCCGCCCGTCACAATTAAAAATTGCGAGTAAAAACCACAAGTTATTAAATTATTAATTTATAATATTATTTTTATTGTGCTTATAAGCTTATTACAAGCATAATAAACAATATTTTAAAATAAATTTAATAACGTGTAGTTTTTACTTAAAATTTTTAATTCGTGGAATACCCTCTCTTTTATATTACACGAGTAACAACATTTTATAGGATAATCAGGCCAATTCACTAACATGAGTTGTTAAAATTAGCCACTAGAATCAGTGGTTAGTTAAGGTCAGTTTCTAAATGCAAAATTGCTATTCACTAACTTTTAAAGTAGTTAACTCAAAACGACTAGTCTTTAATTGAACCCCAGTAGTGCCTATCTTTTAACAACTGCTTTAGACGCATGGGTGATTCTCCAGAACGGAGCAAATATGCTGAAACTCTTAAATAAAATATACTAATGAAAGTAGTTAGCATTTAGATAAAACTACAATAGACAGTTTATGTCTAGCAGTAGAACGTACTTAACCAAAAAAATAAAACATTATTTATTTTATTAATTTGAATTTGCTTAAACGCTTTAAAGTCAACTCCATGGACTGTCACCACCTAGCGTAGGGACAACAAATCATCCATATACTAATAGACTAGATGCAATTGTGAAATGATTATTTCATATTGCATTTCCTCTAACTTGGAATGTATAAAAAATACAACCAAAAGCAAACTTATTGATATTTTAACCCAAAATGTCGAATAAAGCATGAGACACCATTTTACAGCTAAGTTCTTTGCAGTCTTTTAATATACATGATAAATCTCCTGTATAAAACGTATTTTAGTAATGTTTGAAGACTTCGTCGTTTGAGTGATTTAGTGTTGATTTGTGTAAGCAAGGCAAAGGGGATGTAATATTTAATACAAATTTATAAAGAACAATTATTTGCGAAAAAACGGGTAAGTATTTTTATTAAAGATCAACTCCATGTCTTTAATAACAATTGAAATTTAAACTTTCTCCAGGTGAAATAACCAAATATGCTTTGCTTAAATTACAGTTAACTAAAGATGCATTATGTACTATTTTCTAAAGTTTGTGACTTTAACTATAAAAACATCAACTCCATGGACATCAACTCCATGGAATTGTTTACTTTCTTATTATTGCCCTAAACTCTTGGCTCATATAAGTTAAGGCATTATTAACGATAATTAATAATATATAGTTAAATTATAATAAATTTAATTTAATTTTTCTTTAAAAAATTCTCTAATACTATTATTATTATAACTATATACAGCATATACATATAGAGATGAAATGGATAGTTGTTTGGCCAGACACCGGATCCCGAATATTCGGCAAGAATCGAAGCCTAATAGCCAGATATCCGGCGGCCGGATATGCGGCAGTTGAAAGATCGAATTTTGTTTTCTTTATTTGCATTTTTTAAGAATAATATTATTCTATTTAAATAAAAGTATTAATAGTATATTAAAGTACAAGTGGCGAAAGGCACTGTTTTCCCGCACGAGTCCGAAATTACGGACGAGCCGCGAAGCGTGCGAGTGCCCTAAAGGACGAGTGCGGAAATGTCTTTCGCCACGATTGCTTTGTACTATTTTTTCTATTTCCGTTTTTTATTAGTTAGTTATGGATTAGGAAATTTTTATGTTAAAAATCATTGGCAAACATTTGCTAAAAGATGGCTCTTTTCTGACATCTATTCAGATTCAGATTCAGAAGATGATTTACCGTTATCTTATCTAATTCAGAAATCAACAGAACAGGCAATACAAGGTTAGATTTATGTTGATTTTATATTATTGTGTCAACTGCATGGTTCAGAACGTCAACTCCATGGACTCATTTATTTTTCGTTAAATAATAGAAATATTTAGTTTAATTTATAGCCGCCTTGAAATTACTTTATGTTATTAAGAAATACACATTGAGGTATTATTTTGCTAGTGTTTTATTAATCTTTGCTTTTTATTTTTTTACCACCCCAATTTATCCCCGTTTTGGATATTCACCCGCATAGCTAAATGAAAATTTGAGTTGCCAGTTTATACCTTACCTGCTATAAACTGAAAAATATGGCTTTTGTATTTGGAAATAAACGTCATTAGTAAAAAATTGTTAATTTAATAGAACAGCATTCATAAAATGTATTAATTTATTAATTAATTGGTATTTTTTATTACCTACAGGGTCCTAAAATAAGTTGTAATCCCTTGTGAATAGGCTAGTTCACGCCAAAGTAAGCGTTTTTCCTTTATTACTTTTACATTAGTGCTACTGTTTTTTAATTTAAAAAAAATTATGAAAATTGGTGCAATTTTCGGGCATTTGTTTCGTGGCCACTGCTTTGTTTGAACCTGACCTACCTAATAAAACATATGGTGAGTAGTTGTGTTGTACTAAAGAAAAAAATTTACAGGAAGTATCTGAAAATTTAGACCCAAATTTTAAAAAAGATATGAATAAAGTGACTAAAGATATTTAATGGTCTATGACTACACAAATTAACAAAAACACCGCTCCAGGTTAAGACAAAATTATTCATGAAAATTTCATGATGAAATGGTAAAAAGTACAAAATTCATGAACACATAATAAAAATTTAATTTTTTTGTCTTGATCATGCCTATAATAATCATCCAAAGGAATGGAAAACGAAGTAATAATTACAATTCTATAAACTAACTCTGACCACAGTAAACTCAAGAACTATATATAGAAAAAATATTAAAAACAAAATCGATAATGCTATAGATAAAGATATTCCCAATTTTCTATTTGGATTCTAAACTAACACCTACACAACACATCCTCTAACAATCATCTTATCTAATACACAAACGGCAAGACTTAATGGACAAAAACAGCAGGGTTATTTTTAGATACTAAAAAAGTGTGTGGTAGCTTATGATAAAAAGAACTGCACAAATAATCTATTTAACCATACTCCCAAGCCCAACTACTTAAAACTAATTATTAACAACACTGCAATCCTCCCAAAACAACAGTTTAAAACCTTGACATCCAACTTTTCATAACCCATCAAACTTAATGTTGTAGTTTTTATTTAAGGATTTTTTTTATTCTCCGCTATGTAGTCGATCATAGGTCTAAATTATTTTTTCCACGTTCTCTTCCCTCGCGATTTCTTCTTTTTTCTGTATTGTTCATAATTCCTTATTTTCAGATACCTAATTAATTGTCATTTGAGGTACAAATTTGTTTAGAATTTTATATTTCGCAACGTTACCAAAGCTGGTATCTAGTTGTTCTCAAGATATTTTACTCACTAAAGTAAGTCAGGCTATGGAAAAACACGAAATTTCAAATTCTGATGCTTATTGTCACAATCAATTCTTTTATTATTATTGAATTGGTGAATGATAATGTAACTCACACAACCACTCCGATTCAAAAACAGTTTTTAAGACTCTTAGATTAAGACAGCGTTTTGTAATAGCTCGGAGTCCGAGCCTCGGACCTTTTAAACTCAGCTTCGAGATACTAATGGTTTACAAGTTTGTACAGAAACAGTTCATCAGCGACTAAGGGAGCATAATTTGAGACCTAGAATTGCTGCTCGAGGTCCATCTTTAACTAGAGTTCACCGAAGAGCAAGGCTAAATTTTGCCACAGAGCATTGTAACTGCAGTCGAAATCACTACTATGACATGACCAGCTCGGAGCCCGGACTTACATCCCATAGAGAATTTTTGAGACACTCTTGGGAGGATATTACAAGAGGAACGCAACGTGAACGCTTTGGAAGACGTACGACAGAGACTTATTCAAATATGGGAAGAACTGGACCAAAATGACATAAGGTCTCTAATTTTAAGTATGGGCCGTCGTTGTCAAGAAGTTATTCGTGCCCGGTTAACCATGGAATACCGTGGTATCCCAAAATTTAACAGCCAATTCTTATGTAACATTGTCCCCTGAATCCGAAATCAAAAATTATGAAAGTGAAAAAGTTTTTAAGATATAGTCAATTCCATATTTAAAGGAAAATTGACTACATCTCAAAAACGGTTCTACTTTTTTTTTAACTTTTGACGACATTTTCAGATTCAGGGGACAATTTTACATAAGAATTGGCTGTTAAATTTTGGGATACCATGGTATTTCTTGGTTAACCATGGTACATGTGAAAAAGCAGCCACTAATAACTTTAGTCATTTTTGACTAATTCATTTTTAGAGAGTACTTATATAATATTATACGTCGAAAAAGTTTGGTAGTTAAAATCCAACTATTCCATATTTGGAATTCCAGACCGGTTTAAATTTGTTTTAGTATTTTGCAAATAACAACACAAAAACAATAAATCTTCCAGAAAATGTAAAAAAATATAAATACAACATACTAAACATTTAATCACATTATTATTTTTTACTAATAAAAGAAAAATACCTCACTTTTAGGTACATCGTTTAAAAACACATCATAAATCCAAACCTAAAAATAAGAAAGAGGATATCCTTGTTTTGCGTCTTCAAGTATTTTTTTATAAGGGCGCCATTTTACTATATTTGATAATAAATTTTACATGATGTATTATGTAGATCGTGGTTCATTGTCGTATCGCTTAAAACTTTCATGTACATTAACCTTGTGTATTATTAATTTAGGTAAGGGAACACCACCGAATATACATCTGTGTATTTGTAATATAGCCATTATGGCGTTTGCAAACAGACTGAGGAATAACTAAATGTATAAACAAAGCTGTTAGGAGTTTCCGCGGTCATCCAATCAGCGGGCATTAGGCTGACCGATTAATAAATAAATAACCTTAAGCTGATGACTGGTATTGGTGAAATTTTAAGTTTTATTATTAAATAAGGCTCAATTTCACATAACGAGATAATATCAAACAACTGTCTAATAAATTTTTTAAAATAAAGAAAATAGTTTCATATCTTTTATATAATTTATTTTTGTTTTAATTTCATTTGGAATTATTCTTTCCAACTTTTCAGTATAAAGAAACATTTTAACTAAAACAAAATAACACGTCATTTTAAAATTTGTCTTTGTACTAAAAAGTTTATATGGTCTTTCATAATTTCATAATTTAGTTGACGTGACGTTGACGTTTACCTAATGAGCACTTTAATTAACGTTGTAAAATATCGGCGTCAAAGTCTCTAAAAAAAGCACTTTGAATTCAAAATTATATTCATTATTCTCGGATAAAGAAACAACTTGGCAAATTTAAATGGCAGTGTGCTTCATAATAAAAACACTGTTTGAAAAGAAACTAAACCTTTCTCTTTCGCAAAGTAAAGTGGGCCTCAAGCCTTTCCAAACCAGTCCGCGCAATCTCAAGAAACCCTTAAGAAATTTATCAGGGCAACTTAACGTTCGCTGTACTAAAGTGTTGTATCTCCTTGTGATCTTTTCTATCGTCAACTGAATTTAAATGGGCTTACACTGAAAATGAAACCTTTTTCCGTTCAAAAACAAAACTTATAACGAAAATTTAAGTTCACTAAATTCTCACCTGGGAATGTAGAGCACTCGTTCGGCGACCACGAATCCGACAGTCACTAATAAATTTGTGGCCGGTAAAAAAGGCAACACGAGCAGCATTAATCCTAGAACAATTGGGACATGCCTCTGGTTCTGAAACAAAACAATGCGGCAAGAATTAAATTTACGATTTTAATTTTAGCAAAACGGAAAAGACTTCTTACTTTCCTTTAGCAGACATTATTTTAAGTAAAAAGTTTACTTTATAAATTATTATGATTGCAACAAATAAAAATACAAGTATTTTATAACTATAAAGCGCAGTAAGGTTTTTGCAATTTATCCCGGTGCATTCGCCATTTTTGTAAATATTCCTTATTTTTATCTAAGTACTATGAAAGGACCGCAAGAAACTCCAATGTTGTACAACTTTTATGTAAATCCAGTAAATTAAAAACGGCTTTAATATTTAAGGGGTAAGCGTTTTTCAGTTTAATAATAACTTCCAAACCAATATTTAGCATACGAATGCTGTTTATTACAAAAATAGTTAATACAAAACCAACTAAAAAAATACTAAACGTTGTAAATATGTCCTTTACACCTGCAGTGATTTCGGAGTGCCAACGTACAAAGTCACTAGAAAAAAGTACGACAGATAAAAACAACAAAACCCGGCCACTTGACCAGATAACGCGGCATATAATTTCATAACTATTTTAACCTTATCAATACATTAAATAATGAATCAATTTAAAAGGATTAAACGATAACTAATAAATTGTATAAAATTTACTTGTTGCAAAATATAATACATCACAGATAAACCAAAATAAAAAATTAAAAAATACCAAAAACACATGATTTATTTTCTGATTTCACTTTTTTAAGACTAGAAAAAATTAATTTAGGTTAATAATATTAATACTTTTTTATGTGAGTAAATA